GGCTGGTCACAGAGCCCGGTGGGGGTGGAGGAGGGATGGGGACATTTGCTCAGTGGGTGCTAGACAGACGACGGGGGACGAGCTCTGGTGTCTTGCATGGCAGCATGACTGTAGTCACCAGTAATGAAGTGCAGAGTCAAACAGCTAGACTCTGCTGTCCTCGCAAGAAATGACCAACGTTGCTGGGGGCCAGTGGCTCACGCCTGTAATCCCAGCTACTCAGGAGGTGGAGATCAAGAGGATCGTGGTTTGAAACCAGCCTGGGCTGGGTTTGAAACCCTTCACAAAAAAGGGCTGGTGGAGTGGCTCAAGGTGTAGGCCCTGGGTTCAAACCCCAGCACTGCAAAAGAAAGGACCACTGGTTAAGAGGCTGGGTAATGCCAACTCCGTTTTCTCGTTCCACCATAGAGCATACGTGCATCAAGGCGTCACGCGTACCCCAGGTGCGGGGTGGGTTTTCTCAAATGTGGCTTTCCATTATTTCCCCTTCAAGACCTCGGGCCCGTGGTCAGCGCGTTCATAGATAACGGTTGGTTTGCCTCTAGGTGGGTTCCACAGACCCTCCAGGCGCCTCCGCCTCGGGGGTCTGCACTTCCGGGGCTGGACAGGCCCTGGCGCCACTGACCCCAGCAGCTGCGCTTGGGGCCACGATGGCAGGTGTCCAACAAAAATGCGCTTTTGCCCAGCTGCCTCTCACATTGCCCCAGCCAAAGCAAACCAGCAGGTCGCCCTGACTTTCCGGCTCCCGTGTAATAAAACCTTAAATATTTCCTACGAGCTGGAGTTCCGTAAAGCGGGCTGGCTCCCCAGTGTTGGCGGCGCGGCATGGCCTCGGCCTGACCGCCTTGCGCAGTGGGGGATTTTCCTTTACCTCGCGGGCCCGGCCCCCGGCTGGGGCTCTCGGGTAAACCGACCCCTCCCCCACCCTGCTTGGGTCGTGTGCAGTGTTCGTCCCGCAGCGCCTGCGCTCTGGCTCCCCCGCCCCGCACCCCTCCACTGCCCCCACCCATGTCTGCAGCCTTCCAGCCCCACTGCCACCCTGAGAAGGCGCTGCTGAGCTGGGTGGCGGCGTGGGCGCAGAGCCCTCCTCCCGCTGCGACCCACACCACCCTGTCTGCCTCCCCTGCAAGGGGCCCACAGACCAGGGGGCCAGGGTCCAGAAGTGCGCTGAGGCCCCGCCCAGGGGAGAAGACGGACACACTGCGGAGAAAGTGACCAGGGAAACAGACATGAGGTCGCCGCGTTATTCCTACAGTAAAGCCCACAGCAGTCACAAACAGCGCCTTAGGCTTGGGTTCCGCACACAGCTGTGCATCGGCCACTCAGTGATCTCTACAAAAATAAGCAAGTGGCGCCATGCTCTTGGTTTGGGATGAATTCCTAGGGCAGAGACAGCGGGATCCCCACTGCCACGTCTGGGAGGCCAAGAAGAGGCTTGGGGATGCCACCCTCAGCCTTCACCTGCCCAGGAGCCCTGACGGCAGAGGGAGCTCATGTTCTTTGGTGAATCCAGCCCAAACCCAGCCTCAACACATGGGCAAAAACAGCCCAGGGGCAAATGGCCACTCACAGGATGTCACCAACCCCTGCCCTCCCTCTCACTCCACAACCTCAGCCACACTCAGTGCTTTAGGGACCGCAGTACTGGGAGAGTCCAATGCAAGACTCCCGGCCCTCAGGGCAGGTACAGCCTCATGGACCATCACCCTGGGGACACAACAGGCCCCAGTCTCAAGCTGTCCCAGTCTCAGGTCCTACAGGCTCAAGCAGCCCTAATTGGGCAGTAGGCTCTGGGCTTTCCACTGCCCCTGCCAGCAGCGCCCTGCCTTCCCCACCTGGAGCAACCATTGACCGGCAGGTCTTGGAGGAAAGACTGGTTTGGGTGGGGTGTGTGTGGGACTGGAAGCAAACCCAGGACTCCAGCCAGGGCAGCCATGCCACCAGTGCTGTCACCCAGTGCTGCTCATCTCCCATGCTAGGCTACAAATTCCAGGGACTCATGGATGACATAATTGTCAGTGTCACCATTTGAGGGCTCTCAGTCCCTCACCTGCATCTCTCTGAGCTCCCTCACGTGGGTCAACTTTTCTGTACCAGGCCTGGGCTTACTGGATAGTGGGAGGAGCCACTGCCATGGGTTTAAGAGCAACCTGTTCACGGTCACAGTGGAGTGACAGCCCTTGGGAAGAAGGCCAAGGGCTCTGCCTAGCAGGAGGTAATAGTGGAGACAGGTGTATGGCTCCCGGCCATGCTGCCTCCGCCTTCCCTCTGAGGGCTATAAATACTCCCAGAAGCAAATGGCAAAGGCAAAAAATGCTGAGACATTTATCCTAAATTACAGGTGGATGACTGGGAGTCTTCAGGCCTCTGGGGAATATTCTGGTTCTTTAAATAAAGCAGGAGCTCCCTGATATGGCCGGAGGGGCCGCAGAGGGCTGCTCAGTCTGGCAGGTGCTGGTGGGCACAGTGCTGGCCTGGGGAAGTGGGGCATGGGTGGGCAAAGGGCTGGTGGCAAAGTTGCAGGGATGATGCTGCGAGGAGTGGCTTGGCCAGCCCAGGAGGCACCCTCACCCCGCTGTTGCTGGGGTGGATTACTTTGATCATTTTTTAAAGGAGTGCTATAAGTGACAGCAATGATTTTCAAGCAGGTGGGGGCTCCTCTGGACTCTATGCACCTGTCCCCTCCCCTGCGTTACCCTGGCAGGAAGTCCTGGCTGCATGGTGCAGTTCGTACTGCACCCTCAGAGTGTCAGGGAGGTGCAGCCAAGAGCTAGGACAAGACCCCTTCACCACCTGAGGAAGCCAGGGCCTGAGGCCCGCCCAAAAGCCACCATCCTCCCCCAGCCTCAGTTTCCCCCGGCTGCCACAGCTGCAAGCAAAATCTCCCCTTCCCTTTCTGCTATGACCAGGACCTCTGATTGCCTGCACCTAGGATGATCCAGGATGGTCAGCTGAGGAGTGGGCCCTGTATGTTGGCAGTGCCACTCCTGCCTCTCGCAGAAAGTCCTGAGCAAACCGGGGCACCAGGAGGCTTCTAAATTTAACGTTATAAACAAGCCAAGGGGCACAGAACCCCAAATGCATTGTAAATGCCTCGGGCCACTAATGAGCACCGCACTCCTGCTGGAGCTGTTGTCAGGATAAACAAAAAGAAACGGAGCATGACCTGCCTGCCACAGCACCGCCACTGCCACTGAGTGCCCGCCGCCTCAGACCACTCAGAGGCACCGGTCACCACACAAGAGTAACAGGAAAACCAAACGCCAATGAAGAAAATGCTGGGAAGGTGACAAATCCCATTTCCTTTTCCTCTGTCCCTTTCTTTCATGTCCAGAGGAGCAATCTAATGGAGGAGTGCAGTGAGGACGCCATCTGTGACTGATGGCGGTCGGGAACACTCCGTTTTTATTGTAGATTACACCTCCTTTCCCTCTCAGCTCTGGAAGGGCTAAGTGATTACAATTTTGTTGTCTTCTAAATTAAAAAGAAGGGGAAGTTGACTGGGCCGGCGCTGTGCGCACAGCAGTCTGACAATTGGGGTGACATTGTAACTACTGAGCAATTTTTTACACAATTCAAAACTCATTTTTTTTTGGCAAGGAATCAGTCTAACAAACGCATTCCGCTCTTATAAAAACAATTTCTTTTCTTTTCTTATATTTTTCTTTTAGGATAAACACTTGTATTGTCAGGAATGGATGTTTTGTTTAATAATATTAAAAAGTGACATTTTAAAGCGTGACTGAGAAAGTCCAATCACATCGCTCACACTTCTACTAAAACCAGAAAGTACTGGAGAATAGAGGAAAATGGACGAGAGAGGTTTCCACAATGCACACACCTGCCTGCTCAGCGTCCCACTGGGGCCTTCAGGAGTGGCCAGGTGACTCTGAAGGCTTCTTCAAAGCCCAAAGAAGATGTCTTTCTGCTCTCCAAATGACACGATCAAAGTGAGGGCGGGGGTTCTGGCAGCAACACTTGACCTGGGTGGGTCAGCAGAGCCACCCAGTCAGTGTCACAGCGTGGGGCAGAGGTTATGGGTCCCATATGTGTCCGTCTCCCCGCACCCCCTCTGAATAGGTCCCATTGGGGCTGTGTTCATGCTGCTGAGGGAAACCTGGACGGCGCAGGAGTGGGGAGCACAGTCCCCCATCTGCTCTAGCTATGGCTTACTGTGACTCTTCCTGGCACCTGTGGTTCTTACAGTCAGCATTCACCTTCTGGGCTGGGGTTTGGGGCACACAGGAGCCCCCCCACACACACAGTTGCATGTCAACCTGTCTACTACCATCAGTCCTTGCATTCAGCTCCCACACTCTTAGCTTCAAGACTTTGGCCCATTTTGGTCCGGTTGGGTGCCAGGGAAGAGGTCTTCCAAGGGGCCAGACAGACTCTCAGACGAACCAGGATGCCTGGGAATCCTTCTGGTTTGCTCACTCATCCTGTTCCCTGAAGATGTGGTGTCCTAGGTATACTGGTATGACACCTCGACTGTGGCTTGCAGGTCCAGATGGACATTCGGAAAGTTCCTTCTTCCCTGAATCAGAAAGCCCATCAGGCAAGGGCCCAGATCCTGCATCCAAGTGAGGCCTCCCCACAGGATTGGGGACTTCGGGGAGAGAAGCGGCAGCCAGAGGCAGAGCAGGCCATGAGACTGGCCTCAGAATGCCAGAGGCTGGCACTGTGGACTCCCACTTCTCTGATAACAAGGTGTCTTTAGAGTGCAGGCAAGCACTCTAGGTGCCTCCACAGAAGAAAATTCTGGGAGAGTTGGGGAGGCCAGGAAGCCACAGGTGTGGATCTGTAGGGGCCTCTTGCGATGGGAAATGAGGTGATAAAACAGCATGGAGTGGCGAATGCCCTGCAGGTGGGAATAGCCCTGCCTAGCCCCACTGCCCCACGGGAGCAGCGGGCTCCAGGTGGCTGGATGGAAGCCCTTGAATAGATTGGTGGCCGCTGTAGCTGGGTAGACCAAACACACAGGTAGGAGTATGAGTGTTGAGCGGGCAGGAGCTCTTCCAGGTAATTGACAATTGGGGGCTGGATGCTGACAGAGGAGTGGTTTCCAATCATGGTGGGCACCCTGCCATTCGTCATGGGAGCCTCCTCACATCAGGAGAGGCAGGCACCAGAGGTGGGTCTCACGGCCACCAGATGAGCAGGTAGAGATCAGAGCTGCGGACCGTTGACTGGCACTTCTTCCCCCAGGACCAGTTTTCCTGCCCTGGACCTTCTGCTGCCTGCTGGCCTGGCCTGTGTCACATAGAGACGAACATCCCAAGAGCCGTGCAGTTTGATGCTGCCCAGTACTTCAGTGTGATGATTCACCCCAAACTATCTTAGCCTAGAGGAAAACAACTAAGTGACCTGTTCCTTCTGCTTACACTCTGACCAAGGCATCTTTAGACACTGGGAAGACCACCCCCCATCAAGTTCTTGGCCCCCCTCTGAGCAGATTCCTAGGCCATGCAGGACCCAGGGATCGCTGCACAGCCTGCCTACTGGCCTCGCTGCAGGCCGGAGGCACTCAGGCTGGAGCTAACAGCAACAGACGGGGAGAAGTGTGACGAACCGTACTGCAGATGGGCACCAAAGCAAGTTGCCAGGGTGGCCAGCACTGATAGGGAGGTTGCTAGCAAGTGACAGGAGGAGTGGAGGAGCTGTAATAGTCACATGGGATCTCTGTGATGAGGACTAGGAGGAAAGCTTCTTAGAGCTGCTTTTGCAATATCCAGCTGTGTGCTGCTATGGGGAAACACAGCAGCCAGGGAATGGCCTGGGGTCCCATGTCTGTGCTCCTGGCACTGATGAGAGGGGGCCCGCATCACTGGCCAAACAAAAACAGAGGGCAGCTGAGGCCCAGCAAGTCTGAGCAGGTTCGGCACCTGGTACATGCTTGTCTACACGCAAACTGAACGTTAAACTAGCAGCTGGCATGACAACCGCTTTTTTGTCAGCCTCCCGAGCATTAAGGCTGGTACATTGCAGAAATGACAGGTTAATAACTCAGCAATTTGAGTGATTATTAACTCTAGGTCCACAGATTGATTTGCTCATTGTGTATTTGGTTGAACTTCCTCAAAGGATTTTCCTCGTCAGACCAGGTGCCGTGATGAGCTGCATCTGCATCTCATTCAGGAGTGTGTGCGGACGCTCTGCTCCAACCCATGCAAAACCGTTCAAAGCTAAGGAAGGGAAATTATAGCAGCAGAGGGAGGGTGGGAAAGTGATTTGCCATTGGAGCATTTTCAGAGGGACCTGGAACACTTATGACTCAGCAACTGGAGGGTGACTAAGAGAAGGAAAGCCACTCAGTTGCCAGGACAGTGGCTCCACAGAGGTACACACTGTGGAGGCCCATTTACCACAGGGCGCCTCAAGCTTCCAGTCCATGCTCTGGTATTTCAACTTGGCCTGTCACTTCCTCCTTTGCCTGGGTTAGATTAGAGAGGTAGGGTTGGATGGTGGACTTGATGCAGACTGAGGATCCATGTTCTCCTCCTGGAGACCAGCCTGACTTGGACAGATGAACAATGTCTTTCTCCCTGTCCTTGGAAGAAAACCTGTTCTTTTGCAACCATGTCTGCTCCGCCCTGGGAATAGGGGGTGGGCAGTCCACAAGGGTCCCTGCCCAGAGGACAGGCCCACCTAAGTCACACCACTGCCCCCTTTATTGGTGCTGCCGGCTGGGTGAGTGAAAGTTGGAGTCTGGGCTGGGGGGCAGTGAGCTGCCACCAGGTGCCCGTAGGGCATGAGGGTCAAGCTGCTGACTGGCCAAGCTGGTGTCCCCTGTCCCCGATTCATCGCTTTCTTCCTTCTGGCTGCTCTGCTGCTCTGGACACTCGAAGTGCACACAGTGGAACACCTGGGTGTGAAAAGGAAAAGATCTGGTGAGTGATGGGGCCCCAGAGATGCCAAGAGTCAGATAAGGTCCGGCCAGCTTTGGGGGCCCACCCCAGGGGAGAGAGAGGAAGTCTTCCTTGCTGCGTCCATCCTCAAAGAGACACTCGGCAGCAACTAGGCTGATCATCAGGATTAAAGTAAATGGCCCCAGGCTCGAAGCAGGGCTCAAGTGGCAGAAGAGCACTTCCCTAGCATGTGGGAGGCCCTGAGTTCAAATGCCAGCAACACTGCAAAAAAAAAGGACGTACATGGCCCAATGGTCCAAAAGTTACAGACATCACAACATGGATTCCTATACAGCTCTATAGTACTCTCAGGGCATCACTCAGTTTCAGGTTATTTTCTCTAATGGGCACTTTCTACCTTCTTAACTAATTATTCTTCACGTGGTGGCTAGTTAGAAGTCAGCAGGAGTGGGCTGTGGTGATGGCCACACAGCTCTGAGAATATATGTACTGCGGCCATTGCACTATCCACTTTAGTGGGGAGGATGAATGGCATAGAGATAAAAAGGACGCTGGCAGGGCATCACCAGGAGGGGAACCCATGCTTACTCCCAACAAGGCCCTGCGGCATAATTCTCTCTGGCCTGGGAAGGCTAAACAGACCCCTTAGGCAGTAGGCTACAATCTTACTCAGCCTGCATCAAAACTTATCAACCTGGGGAGCCAGCAAGCAGGCTGAGGAGGGCACCTGCTGGGAGCCAGGCAGGGCTTGCCTACCTGACTGGAAGCACTGAACTCCAAGTCAGTGCTGTGCAGATGGTATGCAGAAGGGCCTTGGAGTAGGGAGAAGTTCCGAAAACAGTGGGATAATGCAACTTGTCATTGAACCTGAATGCAAATGCCACAGCTGAAGTGCAAGTGTACCCACTGCTGCTCCGTGATGTGCTCAGAAGGCCTGTCAGTGTCTGTAGCCTGTGTGGACAGCTGTGAGCAGCAGGCCATACTGAGCTCATGCAGATAGGACACACTGCTGTCCCTCCCTAGCCTGCCTGGGTGACTGCATCCTCACCTCCCTTTCCTTTGAGGGGCCTGCTCCCAGCAAGCAGCTGCTGGACTTTGGATCTGCTCACAGTTTGTGAGCTGTTCTTGGGTACAGGCACATTTGGTTAGAGGACAAGGGTCCTGGGACCTGGCATGGCAGGACACAGGGCAGGGCTGGCTGGCCACCCTCCATTCTCCCTGCGGAGGGACAGGTGGAGGAGGAGAGGGCAGAGGCAGTGACATTGCAGGGGGCTCAGGAAGAGCCTGCAGCAAAGGGGCCTGGCAGCCCCAGGATGTGCTGCATAGCGCACAGAATGAGCATGTGTGTGCATGCACACACACCTGTACTTACATGGAGGAATCAAGGTCACAGAGGAGAAGACAAATTAGTATCAACTGTGAACTTATGATGAAAATACCAATACCATGCTTACTCCCTGCATCGCTGTTGTTTCCAAATCCCTGTTTCATTTTCCACCCACCGTTTCAAATTTCACGTTACAAACTCTACTAAGAAGACTAGGTGAGACCGTGCACCTTCCTGGTCCGCCCTCTCTGTTAAGGCAGTGGCTGATTTCTCTCCTTGAAGAGGGTGCTCAGCCTTGTCCTGGCCTGGATGCTTCTTGTTACCCCCCCTCAGTGGCAGCTGTCCTGGATACCCCTGTGCTGCCTTCCTGATCTTTTCTCTCCTTCCTCCATTCCCTGACATAGATCTCCTTTCTGGGCCCATCTGCTGGCACTCACCTGTGGACAGCTGGACAGGCCTCAGTCAGATGAGAGGGCCTTTTATGGAGACTTGAAAACTATAAGGGCTATCAGCTTGGTCCTGAACTGGGCTGGCCCAATTTGAAAACCTGCCTCTAAGTGGCAACAATTAATCTACCCTTCACAGTCTTTACGCTTTTTGCAAAACATCTGTAGGCAGGTAGCCCTTTGTCTCTCTTGCTTTACGAACACTCCTCTCTCCAGGCCTGAGACTGGACAGCAGGCTCTGCTGAGTGTCCTCACCCCATCACTAAAATGTCTTTTAACTGAACAAAGGTTTCACTCTCTTGGCAAGATAACCCAGCCCCGCTGCACATGAACAAGGATTCCAAAACTGCCCTGGACTGCCCTGCCCTCCCAGCACTGGACTCTCTCCATCCCGCCCATCAAGTTCTATAGTCCGTTTACACCTCAGGAGGCTGCCCCACAGAGCCTGGGTTGAAATGGATCCCTGAGTTGATTTACATTTGTCCTGCTCTTCACTGCCCCCTCTGAGCTCTCCCCTTCGTGTATTGAATCAGTCTCTCCTTTTGCTTTTGCCAGCCTCTTTTCAGGCCTGTGAAGTTCCAGATGAGCTCTTCCCTGGCGCCCCAGGCCTGGTGCCTATCCTTGCCTCTGACTACTGATCTGTCAGTTCCCATCACCCTCAAGGACTAAAGGTTGCTTCTTGGCCTTCCTCTGCTCAGGGCCTTGCATAAGAATAAATGGATCAATAAAAATCCTAGGCTGAGAAAAGTTGAAAAGATTTCCGGGTGGCTCTGCACGTGCTGCAGAAAGCCCGGGAAGACTCGCTCTCCAGGACGTAAGTGTGGGATAGGCTCTCTCGTGGCTGCCCTTGGTCACTGTTATCCCCATTTCCAGCCTCAATCTCTCTCGTCTAACTTGGGTGGTGCTGACTGCACTGCTATGAGCTCACTAACCATGGGTTTCAAATAGTAATGCAAACAGTGGTGTTCCAGCACGCCCAGCACTGCTGACGGTGCATCTCAACTGGCTAGTTTCATGTTTTTCTGTGGATATTTCTTTCAGAGAAGTCATAGTTATTTCTCTCCCCACAGCACAGAGCTCATAGCAGGTTCTTCCTTTTGAGTTAAGGGGATCCTGGAAGCCCATGGGAGTCCTAGGCCATACTTCCCTGTATGAGCTCCCCTGTGACCCTGGGCTAGGGCATGATGGCCTGGGTTCAGTCACCAGACATGAGGAAGTGGGGTGTCTCAGGACCATGATCCAGTCTGTGATCCTGGAATCACAGATGGTGAGGCCTGGAGTGGAGGACAGGCAGGGCATGCAGTGGGCACTGGAGCAAACAGGCTAAGGGTGGCAGAGGTCAGGGAAGAACAGAAGCGTGACATATGAGGTAGGCATGGCCAGCTGTGTGAGGCTGATGAGTGAGCACAGTGGAAGGGGCTGCATGTGCTTATCCTGCAGACTCCAGCCAGGCTGCAGACACACTGGCAAGCAAGGAGCCCTGTACATGCACAGTACGGGTAGCCATGGGTTAGGACATGCTTCCAGGGAGGAGATGTAGAGCTGAGCCAGGAAGGACAGGGATTGGGAGTGAGGACCTGTTGTGGAGGCAACGGAGGGTGAGGAGCCAAAGGGTGATGACAGAGAAAGGTTGTGGGAAGTGGGAGTGGTAGGAGCTGTGAGGAGGCAGAGGATGAGTCCTAGGCAGATCCAGACCCCAGCAGGCTGAGCAGGGCAGGAGCTAGAGACTCTGGGACAGAGGGGACTACTGAAAATTAGTATCTCTTAAGTCAAAACAGATATGAAATACATTTGTGGTGACAAATTCAAATACTGTGTTTATTAAAGGAAGAAAGTAAATGACAAACCTTGAAAACCTGGAAATCCCCTGAGGTAAAACAGCAGTTTATAAGCAATGGGAAGGAGTTATTTTTAAAGGGGAAAAAAAATCCCCACAGAATTTGACAACAGACTCAGTAAAAGTGATGAGAGACAAGAGTCCATGGTGACCATGGAGACTCTCAGGACAGGGCAGAGACAGGCAGGCTGTGGTGCCTCGGATGATGTGGAAGGGTCCCTGGGGGCTCCAGCACAGCTGCCCACACCTGTGCTGCACCAGGGATACTCAGGACCCTGCTGCTGCCTGTTTTTAATTTTCAGGGTCTCGTCATGCACCTGTTCTGAACTTATGGGGGGGCACAGAGGCAGTCCACTACTAGGGCCTGCTCAATTTTCTGCACACAGTGGGAAGCTGGAATTCAAGCTGGGTGTCTCTGAAGCCTGGACCTTCCCCACTGCACCAAAGTACCTTATCCTCCCAACTTTCTGACAGCACTCGGTCAGCAGTGTATGTCATGGGTGTGTGCCTGGAGGGGAGGTTAGGAAGGCCAGGGAGGATGCCATATATATCCTCAGACTTGAAGGGGTGGAAGTCAGACAGGAGGGCAGAGGGGACAAAGGGAGGGCTTATAGATCAGGTCTGGCCCTGACACTTAATGGTGGCAGCCTTCCTCAGACAGGCTCCGGTCACCCTCTGTATACAGTGCCTGGCTCAGCCATCTCTGCTGATGATCCACGCCCACCCACCTCCGACCAAACAGTAATAGTGCAAGCAACACCCAACCAGTTCTGGACCACTGCAGACACTCAAAATTAACACCGAGGTACTGGTGCCCCTCTGTCACCATCATGTGCAGGGGCAGGGCTTTTCCCCAGGGACTCTAGGCACCTACAGATTTGCAAATGGGCCTGTGGGTGGTCCTCTCTTCTCTGAGTGGGGTGAGAGTGAGCCTGCCTGGGGAAACTGGCTCCTTTGTGGTGGTAGTTATGCTGTCAAGGCTGAGCCTGTGGCAGCCTCCTGCCCCTTGCTGAGGCACCTGAGGGAAGGTGGCCATTGTGCCTCTGCTATTTTCACAGCAAATAGAGGAGGGCACTGATGGCTTGGACAGTTGTCACCATGTGGGTGTGGGGTTCTGGAAAGGTGCCCTGTCCAACCTGCCACAGTCTATGTCCTCTTCCTACCAGGCACCTGTGGGCCTCCTTTTGGCTTTCTCTCTGTGCAGACGCTGGCATGATTCAATTGCTTTCTTCTGAACCTTCCCAAGGCTGCAATACCCCTCGGAAAGGATGTGACCAAGAGTGAATGAGGCATACAGGGCAGAGCTGCACTTCTGATTTATGCAAAGCCATTACTCCATAGCCGCATCATTTTCCCTTCCCCTTTTCAGCAGTAGTGTATCCCATT